AAATAACTTTTATTTATAATACATAGTCATCAAGTACAACTTCTATGAAAATTATAGGTACGAATTCTACATCGAAAACTTCTAGCAAGTTGAATTCCGTATCACGTCTAATAAAAGAAGTTAAAGTAAGAAATTTAAAGTTGGATTTTTTTTAGCCATAGTTGTGTAATTTTTTTAATCAATAATACATTATTTAGAATGTCCTAAGTCCCACGAAAACATCTGATCATACAATCATCACTGACGAACAGGAAAAGGTGCTCACATATTTGCAACGTCAAGGTGATGACTCATCGTTTTTTACTTATGATATTAATGAAATTCAACGAATTGAACGAAGCAAAGCAGTAGTCATTTCTCAATACCATATGGATATACTTAAAAAATTTAGAATTGATTATCTACAAAAAAAAGCCAAGAAGAATACAGCAAACGATAGCGACGATGAATTGAATATAGAAGACCGAAAAAGAAATCTCGAATGGACTTTAATTTTAGACGGTTATGTTGGGTACTCGAATGACTATTGTGTATTCGCTTATGAGCGTCATCATTATACTAGTCGATCTAATATTGGTAATACAAATCGATTCTTTATGAGTGCCAATGCTTATTGCACGTTCGATTTTTGTACATGCCGATGTTATGCTAATATAAGCGAAAATGGTCGAATAAAAATTGATTACTCTGGTGAAATTAAGCACAAAAAAGGAGATACACGCGGCCGACCAATACGTGGTTCTCGTCGTAAAGAATTACAGCAATTTACTATGCTTGGTGCCACACCAGGTGCACTTTATCTTCAACAACTTAAATCAATGTCAGTAGCTAATAAAGAAGCAGGAAACAGAAATGTTGTAGGATCTAGTCGTTCAGTAATACGTAAAATAGCAAGTGAAGCTAATGTACGATTACGTCGAGACGACGATTTAGATAAAAGTCTTCGTGAATTAAAAGATGAACAAACAAAGAAAATTTTTCCTGGTGAAGTTATATCTGGATATTTACAAGAAATAAGTACTGATCCATTACGATTAATTTGTTTTACCGCTGGAGGTATTGCTGCATATCATCAATTTGCATCCAGTATACCTTTATCATGGGATGCAACAGGTGGCATCATAATTAATCGTAAAAAACGTATTTTTTATTATGAATTAACAATGACAAGTCTTATCAAAGGTGGCTCATCACTTCCAGTTACAGTAATGCTTAGTGCATCACATGGTACTATGGATATTGTGCATTGGATGAATTGTTTTATAGAAAAATATAAACAAGTCTACGGTTTTTCTAATCCTTTTCCGAAACCACCAGTTATTCATTGTGATCGTTCTCCTGTTTTTTTGCTTGCCGGTATTCAAGTCTTCAATGGTGATGAAACTATGGATCGTTATATTGAACGATGCTGGCGAATTATTCAACGAGCAGCTACCAAACGTGACTTAGAAATAACAGTTGTACATGCATGTCTTGGTCATTTTATGAAAAACGTCAAACGGAATTCATCGAAAGTCTTAGGCAAGAAACAGGTACTACATATAGATATAAACAATTTTATGAAAGACATTAATACTTAGAAAAAAAAAGATTAATTCTATTATTTTTTTTTCTCTTTTAGGTCTCACTTGGTATGTGGTTTATGGCATTACTTGTTAACTGTAATACATTGGATGAAATGATAATTATTTGGCGAAATATCTGTATTGTTCTTCTAAGTACTAATCAAAACGATCAATTTAAAATATCATTATCAACACTATCCAAAATGGCTGATCAGATGAATGGTGATCCAGACAAGACAAATTTTATCCTTCAAGGCGTATCAGTGACTTCGAAAGGACAAATTTCTAGTAATATGAATGTAGATGTAAGTAATCATATGTCGAATAAGATATGCAATCTTTTTTGTTTAAAATCAAAATATAAATGGTTGACATTTTGTTATATTTTGTAAAATTTTTGTATGACAATCATTACGTACAGCAGTGGTATAGACTAACTACAAAAGAAAAAATTCAAATAGTGATTTTCTATAATTAAATAGCAAGACTCTAATTCTTCGAGAAATTATTCAGATATTAATTTAATTTTTGTTTATCGTCTATTCTGTGATGCTAGAAAATCAAAATAGATAATAGGACATTGTAATGAAGTATTGAACATT